ACATCCTCGGGGGCATAGTAGGGTCCCCAGTGATGGTGGTTTACAAGATGTGACCAGACAGAGCACTTGATATTCTCACCTAGGCTCCCTTTCCCACAGAAGGTTGGAAGTCCTTTCCAGCCTGGGCTGTTCTATGACTCCATCAGACTATTTAATCTCATATCTAGCCCCAAACTAATAATGTTGTTATGATTCTATGATCATTGCTGCTTCCCCTCACAGCTGAACCCAAATCAGATGACACTGCAAATAGTTTTGCACCAGTGTAACTTTACTAGTCCTAGTCCTGATAAGTCATTCACAAACAAGGGGAGGGAGCTCAGGTATTTTCATCTGTTGCATCTTCCCTCCAGGCAAATTAAAACCTCCTCCCATTCCAGAGGAATGAAGAAAGATAACTGAGGTGTCTTCACACAGGCTGCTGGAGTGAGTAAGAATCCCAGAAACTGAAGTACAGCAATTTTTCTGGGTTCTACAGAGTTTTAAAAGGTTATACATTTCTAACAGGGCACAGTGAGACTTAAAATAGTGTGCATATATATATATATATGTATCATATATTCTGTGAAAGATAATAAATTGAACTTTTTATTCTAAATGTACTATGGGAATGTATAAACAGACAAGTTTCTATTACACTTAGGTCATACTGTGTGTAGGTTTAGGAAAAAGCTTCCAAGATCACAGTATGTTTGTCCAGATAAAACTTATGCAGCCTGAAAGGTTTTCTTATTATATTATCTAAAAGCACGTGGATTGATTTCCTTAAAATTTGCTTTACATATATTCCTCTCCTTTACAATCACATTAGGACTCCAATTAGAAAAGACAAATAGGATTTTTCTGTGGGATGCCTGTACTCAGGGTACCTGTGGTGATATATGTTCAAGTAATGGAGTAATTCAACTGGTTACATCATTATGAAAGAGCTTTCATAGTTGAGATGAGAAACCTTGTACTTCATAAAGTCTGGAATAGTGCTGGCAACACTTAATTATTTAAAGTCACCCTTCCACGTGGATCTAAATGTGAATAGATTATTATGCTTTCTGTAGAAAATACACCTCTGTCCTCTAAAGTGCTTTGCAGAAGTTCTGAGTCACAATAACCTTCTTGCCCAGAGTCTCACAGGGGATCAGCACCAGAGATGGGAATAAAGAATCCCAGAATTCCAGCTCTATCCCTTCCCTTCCTGCACTGACTGGGGACCATGATTCCTCCCAGTGAGTCCCAACACATTACTGTGCCACCAGAAAAATCACACTGCACTAAGACAGGTAAAGAACAAAAATAAATCATGGAAAATAGGCAGGAAAAAAATTGAACAAAGGTGGCTTTATAATCCTCAGGACCAGAAGAAACCCTGTAGTTTGAAGTCAGCTGACCAAAGGATTCGTGTGCTACTACTGTAAAATTAACAAGGGTTTAACACATAATCAAGTTTAACAAGCCTCTGTGCATCAGCACAAGCAAGGTAACCCATTTCATAATGCCCCTTAGCCCATGACAAATGCCAGGCAATGTGGTTTAGCATGTTCCCCTTTCCTCTGGGATTACACTGACACACTTTTAGTGGCAGAAAAGAGACAAGCTGGTTTTGAGACTCTGTTTGCAGCACAGTAATTTGCTAAGTTGTGGTAAAATTCGACTGTATGTCAAATTCCCTAACTCTGCTAAGAACAGAGGGCTAACGGGATAAGGGAAAGTGAAAAAGCATTTCCTTGCCAAATGGGTCTGTAACAGGCTTGAAAATGACAGTGACAACTGTGTAAAGGGCTTTTCCACCACTGGATGAGTCCACCTTAATTCAAGCCTTACAACCCAGCACTTCTCCACCTCTTCTCACCAGTCAGAATTGCACCTTCCTGTCCAGTTTGGTACCAGCTGTATAAAAACACTGCCAGTGAATGATGAGCAGACACAATATATCTCATGCTTGAGGTGGACATTCAGGGCATGGAATGTGAAGTGACAGAGGCCTTCCCAGCCACAGAACTCCAGAAGGATGTGATCACTCTGAACCTCACTGGAGATACAGACATAGAGCTAAACTCTGTCTATTTTGCTACTCCTTAAGCCCAATTCAGATTTTTAAAACCAACTTTGCTAACATTAGGAAGTTAAGGATGTGCCCTGAGGCTTTGCTGAATTAGGGCTTTTGGCTTATCATCAAATTAAGGGAAAATGTGCTGTAACCCACTCACCTGACTCAGTCACAGCTGTAGTGCAGGATCCTAATCTCCACATTTATTAAACACATGCTCCCTCTGGAGCTGGAGATGATACAGTAACAGCTGTTTTATTCTGCTTTCTTTCTAAGTCACATGGAAAACACAACCCTGTCTCTGGTATAATTCACACCTAGTATTGCAATTAAGATGTACAAAGATAAACAACTGTTAAATTCTCCATATCTTTCACAATCTATTCAACCTCCCAGTCTCTCTCCCTGGTGTTGCCATCATTACTGTGAGCAAACTCTGACTCAGCAAAGGGAAATTAAGTTTTATGCAAAAATAAATGAGGCAAGTTGTAGTGGGCACAGCATCCTCCCCAAAGGTACTGAGACTAAACATAGGAAATCAGTAGAAAGACAGTGAAACAAAGCAAAAGCTGGGACATGAGGGTTTGCTCTGACTTTAATGTCAGCCTGGCCTGCCACTGGTATAAAATTAGTATTTCTCTGTGGATCATTAATCCTTTTTGTCCACAATGTCCTATCATGAACCCCAACGTGGCTTTTAACCACAGCTGTGGGTGGGAGCACCCCACAAGACACCCCGAAACCCATGGGGCACAGGGCGGCTCTGGGGGCTGAGACAATTCCCACAGCAGCCACCAATTTTAGGGAGGGCACCTCATATCAGAAGACACCATTCTTTTGCCTGGTTAGTGCAAAAAGGGATGTGTTCCCCCCTCAGACCTGCTGAAGGGCTTTGGCAGGTCGAGGCCTTTGTGTGTGGACTGCAGTGCTGGCTGTGTGCTCTGCCTTTGTCCACCCCAGCCTTGTCCACCAACAGAGGTACAAGCACAACCAAACACGTTGATGTGTATTTTTGTGTTCCAACAGCTCCTGCAGCAGCGTTTACAAGTGAGACATACAAAAATAAGCAAACACAGATACGAAAAAAGCCACTTGCTTTCTCACCGTGTCTGTTTACTATTTGCAGTTCAGTCACCTCTGACAAGTGAAGGAGATCATTTCATCTCAGTTCCTGCCTCCAGCACACCCACCTGATGTGTTGCTGGGGGGGATCACTACAGTGCAATGTTTGCTGTCACTGTAAATTGACACTTTACTTCTGAAAAGCTACAAGCCATTTGTTCATAAAACACTTTGCAATCCCCACTAGTCTGTTTGGTAGTTTGCTTGGGGTTTTTTTTCCGATCTAAAATAACTTTAAGGTGTTGCTTCAAATTAAACATCCATGCCTTACATGACATTTTCTTCGTAAACGAGATAGCACAAATATATTTTCCCATGCATATTTATTATGTGCACACAGCAGTCAGCCTTCAAATCCACTCTCCCAGTCCCTGGGGCAAACCAGGAATCCTCCTTGCCATAAAAACTTACCCTTTTCCCTCAACAAAGAATAAACTTTTGCCTTTAGAGTCTCATTTTTCATTTATTTAATTAGTTTCCATCTCAGATAACTAAATTCTTTTTTACTACAGCTGGGAATTTTTATAATGTGCAAATTGAAATAATGATTGTATCACAATACTCTTCAACTGGTTTTCATTAAGCCCCCAGCTACCATTCCTTGCTTTGTTGGCTATCTTTGTGTCGGGGTTACTTTACACTGGACAGAAATTTATGTTGAAAAGAATGACTAAAAGCTTATTAGATAACAACCCTTAAAATGCTCTGGTTGATGGAGCTTAACTGCATATTCTTGTCATAAGCAAAACACCTCAACTGCTTAAAACTTAATAATCATGCTAAAAAGTGGACTTGTGAGTGTATCCCAGGGATTCACAATTCTGAACATCCAAATTACTACCTGTCCTTGCAATTCTGTGCAAGCAGACACACAGTGCCAGAAATACATTTACATTTCTGAGATTTCTTGTCCACAGAGTGACTAAATTCATACCCTGTGTTCAAGTAGGGTTTTCTGGTTCATTTTAGTCCCTTGAAACAGCTCAGAACCGTTTGTGTGGCTTGCTGGAATTTACAGCATGCTTACATTGTTGATCACCAGTCTCATCTCGCTACTTTGTCATCCTGTATTGCCTACTGGGAAATGAGTTTGCTGGAATATATTCCCATTGCTGCCAGGGTCACAGAAGTCTGAATGAACACAGAAGGAGTCCACTTAATTGCAAAGATTTATAGCTATGTTGTTTTCTTTTCTCCCTTTCCACTCAAACTTGTCTTCCATGTCTGACATCTATAGAAAAGGGAGAGCTGCTTGTTCTGGCCAAAACCAGCAGCAGACAAGGATCCCAGTTTTGTAGGGATTCCTTATTTCTCCCACTAGTGCACAGGCAACAGAGAAACAGTTTTCTAACCCACCCTAGGCCAGGGTACTGAACCAAAGAAAAGTGCTGTGTCAATACAAGATCAGCCATGACCTGTCTGCAATGAAGCAACGAGTTACACAACTGGCAAAAAACCCCCACATAACCTTTATCATTTCCAGAAGTTTCATTTGGATTTAGGATGCCATGCTTTCCCTGCTGAAAGACAGGTGAACTGCTACGCAAACAGACGGGAGATTTTTAACTCCTGGAAATCTGAACATCTGTCTCTGCCTGCCCAAAGAGTCTGCTGTGCAGACCAAGCATAATTTCTGTGTCAAACTAAAGCCTTTTCCATCGTCTTATTTATGGCTCTGCTACAAGCTTGAGTAGCAGAGGAATCAATCAATCCAACCAACCAGGAGAGTGATTTTGGGAGCTCTGGGGATTAAAAAAAACAGAACCAAACCAACAGAACTCAAACTGTTTTAGCATTTCTGACTGAACACAGAGTTTACACGCCGAGAACTTACCAATGGAGCGATGGATGCAGGTGTGCTGGTTATCACTCAGAAAAAAGCCCTCTTTGCACTGACATTCATAGCTGCCCATGGTATTTACACAGATCTGCTGGCACCCTCCATTGTTATCCAGACACTCGTCAACATCTAGAAGAGAGAAGGAAAAAGAAACTCAAGATAACCTACAGATTCAGAATACACACCTGGAGGAGCAAGGAAGCCATAAAAAGGCTAATGGAAACTACCCAAATGCCATCAGTTAATCCAAATTATCCCACCTAATTATTTTTCCTGCATCCCAGGCTTAAAGTTAACATAAAAAACCAAACAGTGGGGAGGGGAGTCCAGCTACATCTCCGTGTATTCCGAGCTGCAAATTGATTTCCAATGCACGATGAACATTAAGGTCCTAAAAAGGCTGTGACCCCATCTGCCAAGTGTGGTGTTGCACTCTGTCATTCCCACTCCACTTGGAAAGACATACTTCAGGACTACAGTAATTTTTAGCAGGGGTAGCAGGCAAACACAAAGGGCATTACTGGGTGAAAAGAGTCTTTATAGAGTCCTGTTCTTGAAGAGAACAGCATGTTTCAATTACTGGAGTCATAACCCCCTACTTTGTCAGTTTGTTTAATGTTGTTTAATGAAAAGAAGGCTGCTTAAATCTAAATGTTCCATGTCTGTATTGTCCTTTTAATAGGCAAATATATAAAACCACAAAGGCAGCATTAGCTACTGGCTGTTTTGAGGGTCTCTGCCTATCCCCCATCACTTCTCTTTGGCATAACAGTTTTTATGGTGGTGTGTTGAACAGAGACATGTGCTCCAGCATTGGAAAACCACTGCCACTAAGAGATACCTGACCCACATTCAACCTTGCAACTCTCCTGTTTTGCTCATAGCAGTGAATCATATCTGTTTTCTGGGGGTTTTTCGTTCATTTGTTTTTTGTTTGTTCATTTGTTTGGTTTTGTTTGGTTTTTTGTTTGTTTTTTTTTTTTTTAAGAGCAACTTGCCACTCGAAAATTTCATGTTTTCCTTTTTTTTTTTTTTTTTTTTTTAAATGAGGACTCTTCAGCCATTTAGTTATTTCACAGTATGTGCCAACATGCCAGCAATTGAGCTGGTGTGCGTTTTGCTTTCATTTTGTTTTTTGGAGGGGGCAAAAAACCCACAACAAAGGTAAATGGTTCACGACACCCAAAACCTCAAAAGAGCTGGCACAGCTGCAGCAGAAATTAATTCCTCCAGGACTGGCCACAACACACTAAGGTAAAACCAAGCTGGTTTGCTGGTACTTTTGCAGGCAGGGCCAGGAAGCTCTGAAAGGCTGCAAAAAGTCTGCCAGCAACTAATGCAGGAACGCCAGTGAGTTCCAGCCCCTTGCCTGTTATTTGTGCTGGGGTGCTGCCTGCACTTCATGTGACACAAATCAGAGCTCTTTCTCACAGAGAAAAAAAGCTCCAGGGTAATTACAGTACCCAGGGAAACCAGGCAGGCTCCTTCTGTCTTGAACTACAATGCAAGTGTGCAGACAGTCATCGTTTTTTTACTGACCAGGAAATGTTAAGCACTACTGCCTCAAATTTTCTGTATCAAAATCCCCCCTGCCCTCAGTTCTCACTCTTTTCCAGAAGTGAACGTTTTCATAACCCCCATCAGAGAGCTTGGGAGTGCACAGGAAAAGGAGAAGTGAAGACTTTCCTTGCCTACTGCTGCACAAGAAGGAAAGATAAATAAGTGCTCCCATTAGAGCCTTCCTCTGCCTTCCCAGCCCTGCTGCCCTCTCAGTGCCACTCAAACCTGCTCCCTTCAAAACAGCATGCTGGGATCTGGATTCTCCTCTCTGGAAGATCAGCTGAACACTTACTGGAGGAAGAAGTCTCAGCTGGTACATGTACAAACCCCCAAATTTATGCTACAAAGTACGAGGCCTTCCCAGAGCTCTGTTTATAATATCACAAATAACTCGAACAATTGCCTTCCAGCTCTAATGAATAATCTGAAACAAATGCAATGATTTATAAACATTTTTTTTTCTGCTCTTGATAGCAAATGCTGGTGGATTTACCACTTCCATAAAGAGACAGCTCAATTTACCACCAAGCCCCAAATCCATATGCTGGAATAAAATTATTACAATTGAAACTCTTTTAAAAAGCTTTACTATGAGGAATTTCTGCCAATTGTTTTCAATTACTTGACTCAAAATTATTTTAATATGCATTTTTGAAGAGAAGGACTTGAAGAAAGGGCACAGCTGGATTTAGGACTACTATATCCCTATCTCCATACTACATGCCTTCCAGTGGATCTTGGTTTGACAGTGCAGGATTAATATTTTCTCTTCTCAGGCCTCAGTTCTTCTAGGTCAGGTTTTTTGGAGCACTTTTTATCACTACAGTTCTTAAAAGGTGCTTTTTATCCACCATACCAAGCAATCTACTGGACATCAATGCCTGGAAAATATTTATTGAATTATTTACTGCTAAACTGTCTTTCCAATGAAGTCACTTTATGATCAGTTTATTAGTAACTCAATTTAGTGAATAGGGTGAAATGGTGTTCTGAAGCTAGAAGAGAGAACCCCATCAACTCCAAGAAGCTCAAGCTTTGGTAGATCTGTAGAAATAATTCCTTCATGTTTCTGATTTTTTTCAAAGCTCACAAAAGAAAGAGCTGCCAAAGTGGCTTTTCCTTTCTTTTATTGTGCAATTTCACTCAAGTCAGATCAAGTTACCCAACTGAACCTGTAAACATCAACAGTGCATTGAATTTTGGACCAGATTTTCTAGAGATTAAGTTCCACACAAGCACCAAAATAAGTAGCCAGGTTTTCAATAAAGCTCTTCTAGATCCAGTTTTGGTGGTTCTACATGTCAAACATGGCTGTTGAGTGTTTTGAAAAAACTGAGGGTGGATTCTTAGGAGCTTTGATTGTTGCCACCCTGGTTGACACTTTACACCTGCTGGAGACCTGCACTCCAGGGCCTAACTCTGGACACATGAAAAAAGTAATTTATGGGATAAAATCCCTTCGCTCAAACAAGTGAATCTACTTCAAGCCCAAACTAAACCTATTTTAAAAACCCATTTTAAAAACCTTTAAGCCTTTAAAAATTTTAAACTGATTGAGCACAAATACAAAGCTCACTTGCTCTATTACTCTACTCATAATAAAAAGGATTCTTTTTTTATTTTTTCCCTAGAACAAACAGTGTGTCTTCTTTCATAACCTTTTGCACAAAATCAGCTACCACTGACCATTCAGGACCAGACTGTCTCCCTGAGGATGGCAGCCTCAAGGCAGCAGGGGCAGGGTTCCAGTCCTCTAAACTGGTGTATGGAAAGTCAAATCCATTCCCTAGGCTACTTATCTGACAAAGGTTCAGCTTGGCTTCACCCCCAAGTGTGATTCCTGCAGTACATCATCCACTGCTTACAGGAGAGCTGAGTCTCAAAATCCTCCTGATGATCCCATGGTGGGAGATTTCAACAAACCTCAGACTCACAAAAGGATGGAAAAAGATTCTCACCTAAGCAGAGCTCAGGTGGTTATTCCACATGGCTGCTCCAACCCTCATCCTCAAAAAGAGGATGAAAAACTAGGAGGAAGCGAATAAATGTCCTCAAGCCATTCCCTGTAATGCCCATCACAAAGGGCTGCCCTGGGATTACCTTTGCCAAAGACAATCCTCCAGAAATCACTCATTTCCCACAGCTCTGAATTAGAAATAAATAGCTCAGATGACACCCAGCACAAGAATCAGAACTGCTTATACAGAATTTAGACCACAGTGACAAATCTGTGTTTCCAGGGAGGTGAGGGCCTGGATTCAGTGGCCAAGCATCACCCAGGACAAAGAGGAACAGAGGAAGAGCCAGCTCAGGGAGAGGCTGGGAAAGGAGAAGTATCTTTCAAAGGAGACAGATAATGGATGTATATATGCATAAATACATAGCTAGATCCATAGATCAGAAGCATTATGCAAATTAATGCAGATCTGAATTTGCATAAGACCTCTAGCTTTTTGGCCCACTGCCCTCACCTAATCAAACCTGTGCTCTGTACCCAGGTGAGATCCTCTAGATCAGTATCAAAGGGTAGGAAATATCACAGCTGATAAAGAAGAATGATTCATTTAATAAATAAACAAATGTTTTCAGTTTCTCATTTCATTTATCTGATGAACTTTCCAAACCAGCTTCACTGGTGCTTCACCCTGGTGTGGAGCAGAGCTCCCCACAGCATTTGGCCTGAAGAAGCTCTTGTGACAGTGTCCTACCTGGACACCACAGAGGGGGAAAGGTCTGCTGAGGGGACCTGAAACCAAAACCACCAGCAGGAAGACACAGAAAAGGAAACCCTACAGAGAGCCAATGCCAAGAACAGTCTGTCTGTTCACTTCCTCCCAGGTTCTTCTCTTCCTTCCTGCTGACACTTTCCTTCCATGTCAGCATCTTCAGCAACACTTAAGCCCCTGAGAAATCTGAGTCTCACCTTCAAAGTCTCCAAAGCATTTGGGAACCAGAGCACAATGTATTTACTGCAGCATCAAGACTTCTAAAAACAGGACTTTGACTCACGATCCAGGGAGCTGATCCTGCTATTTTTTTCCCTCTAAGCTACTCTTTGACACTTTTGGAAGAGCTCTCTAAGATGCCTATTTTACCAGTGCAGAACACCATGACTGAGAGATGAACCACTGACAGCAGCACTACAGACTTTCCCTCAAATGTCAGCAACAAAACATCACTTGGGATATTTTGCATTTGTAGGGGAAATGATTAGCAACTAAAACTCAGACAATATAAGTGCCTGATTCTGAGATTTTAAAACCATTATATTCTGAATATTTCAAGTCAGAAAGCTGGTTGAAAATCTCATTTAAAAAAAAAATCACATTCCTGGATTTACTACAATCATAGTTATACCAAAATAACATGTAGCCCAGCATCTCTGACACTGTCCTGTAGCTGATACTCAAGAGAAGACTGTGGAGATGGGACAGAACCATTGCAGACATGTTCTCCCAAGTTTCAGCAATCACATACCTGTGAACTTTCCTAAATCACTTGCCAGACCATTGCCCTGCTGGACCTTTCCTGGGTGAACTTCTCTAGTCTCTAATGAACCCAACATGATG